AATTTAATGAGGTAATCAAACTTGTCACTCGACAAGTTATTTAACTATGCTTTCTCTTCTCTAAGAATCCAAATTAAGCAGCATGAACCTTGATTTGTAACTACGTGGCTATTTCTCGAGTTGTACACCTTGTGCGAGGATGATACTAAATTTTGTCCATATAGCTCCAAATTTTACTAGTTTTCCCCTTTCTAAAAGAGCTGTATTGAAGTTGTGTTCTTAGAAACGGAACATTTTAATTGTACACCCATGGCAATTGTTTAGTAGGAAGTGATGAGGGTTAGTGCTTATATTTTATATTTTACACGTAAATTCAAAATTTTGCAATCACACATTCACAGAATAAAATACTTTGTACGTAAACTCAAAACTTTTTCATATATTTTCACCACACTTTTTCTAAAAAATTATTATTCAAAACATTATTCTATCAAAACAAAGGCTATAAAACGGAGGCCAGAATGTCCTGCTTTAAACTTAATTTCAGTTGAAGAATATTGATTACTAATAAAAATTGTTGTAATTAGGCTGATTTCACATGAATGAACGTAATATACACACAAAAAAGTATTAAAAAAGGAAATAAACAGTAAATTTTGCCTTATCAATTAATTAAGTTATCTCGACTGTAGATATGACTGTAAAAATGGAATAGTATAGTTAATATAAAACATTGTAAATGGCGATAAATTACGTGATTAGTCGAGTAAGTTGACTTTCATCCTTTCAATATAGTTATGCAATCAATTTCTAACTATGGATTTCGTCTTACACATGGCCCACATGGATTATCACTTCAAATTTCTGACATTATAAAGTGGGACAAGTGGAGAACGGAGAATTAGAATGTCTACAAAGTTGAAAATTATTGTTCTAATATACTATAATGACAAGATGTGAATTAATGGTGTATTTTTTCCATGGTTGGATAAGGTGATACCCTATATCAATTACTAAGACTTGGGATTCCATTTTGAAAAATCGATCCCGATTAAGAAGAGTATAAGCTCTTATATGTTGATTGTTGATGTCATATTTAAAAGATGTGAGATTTATTTTTTAACATGTCATTACAAGATGTTGTTTCTTTTGAGAACACTAATCTTGATATGTGATAGCTCTATTGAGTTATAGATGAATCAGATTGTTCATTTAAGTTTAATAAGTTTTAGTCCTAAGACTTGAGATTCACTACTAAAATTTCGTCTTTGTTAAAGAAGTGACTCAATTTGTTATGTGTTAATTATTAATTTCATCGTCGACCAATGTGGACTTAACACTACTTCCACGTTAATTATTAATATGGCAATTTAGGTTTCCTTTCTTGATATATTGAATGGAAAATTGGTAATAGCTAACATGAAACCATGCATGCAGAAAACATGTAGGAAGACATCACATGTGCATGGTTCATGAAAAGATGTCAAAGTTGATACTTTGAATAAATTGGATGCAATGAACTTAAGGGTCATTTTATCATCTAAATAAGGGGAAAATAAAGGAAGTTTCATTTTTTTCTTTTAATCAAAGAAGGGTTTCTTTCTTTTATGTAAAACTTGTTAAAGTAATTTGGTACTTTGCGTTGAATAAAAATTGACAGAAGACCATTTTGATTAGTTTTTGTGTGGCTAAAGATTTTGTTCTGTTTGGACCAAGAATAATGTCCTTTTTTGGGTACATGGCCTAATTAATGAAAGCTAAGTATATAAGAATTTTGAGGTAGAGTAGTTATAACTTTTATTATTCTTCTTACTATTTAATCATTTTTTGGAATGTACGCAGTGAAATTTTTTAAAACTAAAATTTAAGAAACCCCAACTAGGCATGCATTAATGTCCGATATTTTTATATGAATCCATATAACATCAAGTACATACCAAGTTAATTGAGCAATGACCTCAAAAGTTCCCTTCCAAAGCTTAAATTACAAGAATAGAGAGTGGTATGGTCTCATGAACTTATTGCGGAAGCTCAATTTTTCTGTAAATTCTATTGATTTTGAAAACGGGTGAACTGTGTTTTACCCAACAATTTGTGAAATTGGCAGCACAAACTCGAGCCCAAAAGAAAAGGAAATTGAACTATGATTATAATGCAGATAGATAGGAGCTTACGTAGGGATGGCAATCGGGCTCATCGACTCATCATGCTCGTGACTCGACTCGAAAAAAGCTCGAGCCTACCCGGCTCAAAGATCGGGAGAACCTAGCCGAGGCTTGGGCCGAGCCCCATTTTGAGATGCCGGGCAAAGCCCGAGCCCGCCTGTGTGGCAAGCCGGCTCGAGCTTTTCTTTTGAATTGCCTTTTTTAAAAAAAAAAAAAAAAAAAAAAAAAAAAACCCCAAAATCGAGCCTGTCCAGCTCAAGTCAAGCCTAATTTTTTTGACTAAGCTTTTGCTCAACCCGGCTCATGCTCGAAAAAAAGCTCGATCATTTTACTCGAGCCGAACTCAAGTCTTAAATTTCGGCCCGCGAGCCGGTTCGGCTCGTTGACATCCCTAGGCTTACTTCTAATCTATCTTGTTAACACATTTAAAAATTGTTATTAAGTACTAATTCGACATAATAGTTATATATACCATCTAATTCTTCTAATCAATAATTAGGGCAATATGAAAAGAAATTTTAATTTTTATTAATGAGTTTTATTCTACTTTTTCTTTATGGTATAGCTATTTAATTTAAAATTCAAAGCACTTCACGTAATGTAAATTTATCGTACGACTTAAGTTCCATAAGAATAATGTTATGTATTACGATGAGTAATGAGTATTAATCTATGTGACATTGAACCTCACCCCTTCAATTGATTAAAAAAAAAAAAACAATATAATTAACGATTAAAGACGGCTGGATCCTCTTCCATCTAAAGTGCCCTAGCTCTTGGTGATAAATGATATTACTTTGTTTCCTTAAAGCTGAATTAAATTGCCAATTAATGCAGGAAAAAGGTTAATGATGACATAACAGCAAAAAAATAAATAAATAAATAATTCTTTACTTTTAGTCTATCCCTAAGCAACAAACTTGAGTAACCACAGGAGCATTTACCTAACCATGTGTTACTTAAGTCATTTAATTAGTGCACTAACAACATTTAATGAGTGCACTAATTAAATGAGAGCTTGGGGAACTCAAGTAGCAAAATTTCCTTGATTTTATATAGAAAATTTGACAAAGTTGAGAGAATGCTCAATGTTTTCATTCAATATTAGGGTGTGTTTGAGCATCATTATTTGGCATTATAATGAGATAAATAATATTTTTTTGAAAAATGAGTGATTGAAATTTTTTTGATTTACGTGTAATATTTTTTTATTGAAGATTGTGTGGTTAAAAGTAGAAGAGAGAAAAATTTAATTTAATGTAATGAGAAATAATGTGGCTCAAACGTGAATCGATAGATGGGAAACTTCTGACAAAAGATATCGCTCCTGGCTCCATTTTAATTTTAATATATTTTTTCCTTTTTTTTTTAACCATGCATTTTTTAATAAAATAATATTACTCTCAAATTCAAAATATTTTCTTCCTTTTATTCACACATTGTACATATGATGTTTATTGCATGTAATAATTCAATTTTTAATTTTTAATTGAACAGTTCAATAAAATTTTGTAGAATCACCGATGATTGGCGCCCATGTAAATGGTTAGCACAAGTCTTGCTAACATTTGATTAACATTATTCAGAAATTAATCATAGATCTCTACTTTTATTATACTTCCTTATTAGACAATATTGATTCTAAAATACCAAAAAACAGTAAAATCATTTTGGACTATCCATTAATGAGTATCAAGACAATACTAAATACAAAACACAAAAAACAAAATCTTGTAATTTTGTTGCTAGTTTCATACTAAATACAATATAAGGGAAAGCAAAGATTAGCCACAAATCGAGGGTTTACTGAAAAATGTGCACAATTTTATCTTAAATTGAGCCATCCGAATCAAATATTCCCATGCAGCATAGCACCCGTATACTCTAGGTGACAGTGTTCCTAAAAGAAGAATTATCTATCTCTACTTTTATTATACTTCATTTCCCCCTCTCTTCACAGTAAATGATAAAATCGACCAATTACCTACGACTTTATATTGAATTATTCATCCATCAATCTTTCCCTATGAGTACTATTTGTCCCTCTGTTTCTCTAGTAATTCAGGAAGAAGGAGAAAAAGACAGAAGAAATAATGGAAAATACTAGAAGTAAATCTCTGCATAAAACTCAGAAAATATCTTTTGCAGCGCAGATTCTGTTAAGAGTTTTGGCCATGAATAAAACTCCTCTACCAGAAAAGAATAATGTTGTTTGTGCAACGATAGGCTACACAATTGGATGACAAAGGGACTTGGACGGCTAAGATGGTAGGAAAATGGACGGTTTTGATTGATTTTTGCAATGCTAAATTAGGCGCTAAAATGGAAAGGAAAACAGCCCACGTGATTGATAAGTACATAAATATTAAAAAAAGACAACAATTGAATTTTCTCTCTCCTCAGTTCTCCCAACTCCATCTCGTTTTCAACCCATTTGCTCCCAAAAGAAAATCACAGAAAACAGTAACGAGTTCGAGGAAAAAAAGGACAATCATCGAAAACGAAAATTATTTGTTCATGCATAAACCACTGCATATGAGCTAAAGGCAAAAAACAGAGCGTGAAATCCTGCCATAGTCTTCACATTCACCATATACAGAGGTAGAAATTAGGCAATGAAAATAGGGAAAAAATTTCGAAGAAGTTGTGTGTTTCTTCCAACTTCTCCACTCCAACTGTAGGCTTCACATTTTCGGAACCGGGTCACTTGTTCCGACGATATGAATTTATGGTTAAAATGTTGTTGGTATTGTCATTACTGCCTTGTCTGTTCTTTTCACCCATGTTTTTTTGGTAGAGGAGGGTAACTAATGAGTTGTTTGAAAAATTATAAAATTTCATTTCTATGCAATTAATTAGTTTATCAAATATAATTAAACTAAAGAAACAACAAACATGATTTTTGTGGAAGACGCACTGGGTGATGAAATGTATGGAAAATTTGAGCTATACATGTGCACAAAACTGATCTACATTTGGACTCAAGGTTGGACATTTAAAGAATCAATAATGCTGCTATTTATGTTTTGTAGGAATACCGAATATGGAAGATGTTTTGTTCATGGATTCCGAGATTGAGAATGTGGAGGACAATGTCAATGTCGTGGAAGACGAAATGGTAGAAGGTGATTTGACTGTGCTGGAGGTTGGTATGCAGTTTAATGATGAAAAAGAAGTATACGATTTTTATGCAAGATATGCCTATACCGTGGGTTTTCTAGTTAGGAAGAGGAGTTCTATGAGAGATGATGATAGTGTTTTAAGATATGTCACATTGACGTCTAGTAGGGAGGAACGAAGAACTGGTAATACAAACACTTCTTTGAAGCCACAACCAACAATTCAAACGGGTTGCAAAGTTAGGATCTCTGCATCTTTAGATATCTATGATTATTGGAAAATTAACACAGTCGATCTTGACCACAATCATAAGACGAGTCCTACTAAGTACAGATTATATAGATGTAATCGAGAAATGACGGCACACATGAAACGAAAGCTCGAAGTGAATGACATAGCAGGAATACCATTGCATAAAAGTTTTAACTCCGCAGTTGTTAAGGCTGGTGGCTACAAGAATATGACTTGTATTGAAAAATATTGTCGAAACTATATCAAAAAGGAGAGACGACTAAGCCTTGGTGAGGGTAACGCAGCTGCAATACAGTCTTACTTTTCTAAAATATAATCCCTATGCTCCGAATTTTACTTTAGTATTGACTTGGATGATGATTTGCACCTGAATAATGTCTTCTAGGCTGACAATCGGTGCATGTAGGCATATAAAGAGTTTAGGGATGTTGTAACATTTGATACAACCTACCTCACTAATAAATACAATATGCCCTTTGCCCTTTTTGTTAGCGTGAATCATCACAGGTAATCAACGTTATTGGGTTGTGGGTTGGTATTGAATGAGGAGACAGATATATTTGTGTGGTTGTTTACAACATGGCTTAAGTGCATGAATGTTCAAGCTCCGCATGGAATAATCACCAATCAAGATAGGGTAATGCAAAATGCAATTTAGATAGTTTTCCCTAATAAGAAACATAGATAGTGTTTGCGGCACATATTGAAAAAGTTGCCAGAAAAGTTTGGATATCACGTGGACAAGTCTTCGATATTTTCGGCCATACATGTATTGGTCTATGATTCAAAATCTGTTGAAGAATTTGAGGAAGGCTGGAAATCGATGAGCGATACATATCACTTAAGCGAAAACATTTGGTTGTTCGGATTGTATAAAAATACAGGATGTTGGGTGTCATGTTTCTTAAAAACAACTTTTTGGGCGGTAGTCAACAACGTTGAGAAGTGAAAGTACGAATGCCTTCAACAATACACACTAAAACATCGTTGAAGCAATTTGTTGAACAATACGAACAAGCACTGTGGAGTAAGGTTGAAAAGAAATTTCAGGCCAATTTCAAGTCTTTCTCTCAAATGCTCCAGTGTACAACTTATGGAATGGAAAAACAATATCAGGCATCGTACACCATTTCGAAGTTCAGGGAAGTTCAAGTGGAATTTATAGGGAAGGTTTACTATGACATCATGTCTATTTCAGAAGGACATATGGGGACGATCTATGAGGTACGGGAGGATGTAGTATGCGGGGAGATACGAAAGAAAAAACATTTTCGAGTGTCCTTCAAGAGGGAGAACTGTGAAATCATATGTGGTTGTCACTTGTTCGAATTTCTGGGTATAATGTGTAGGCATGCAATCACGGTGTTGATACATAATGACGTGAGTGTGATGCCAGATCGCTATATACTACGAAGGTGGAGGTTAAACGTCAGTAGAGCACACACAAGGGCTGCCGTTAATTACGACGGTTTGGTTAGTACTCCTACACAATTGAGGTATGATGAGATGTGTCAGGCATTTTCCTCGGTAGCGGACCTTGCAGCAGATGATGAAGGAAGGTATGGTGCGATCATGGATTGGATACAATTCAAAAAAAGGAGTTTTGTTTGACGAAGTCGAGTTCTTGCAGTAATATCAATTTACATTGTATTGCATCTCAAAATGAAGGCAGGGCTACTGTGAAAGATCTGATACCGTCGAAGGAAAAAGGAGCTCCGAAGACAAAATGGAGAAAAGGCCCTTTGGAAGCGAACGCTACTACATTAAAGGTATACTCATATGTTATACTCTTTTATTCACTTCATTTTATACAGTACATGGAATTTTTTATGGTGTACATGCAGGTGCGATTGAGTCATGCAAAAGGAAAGAGACCAACCCTGAGGCATAGTTGTATCTCGGATGGTGTGGTCGAGGTTTTGCCACTACCTAAGCAGCAATAATCAATGCCAATGCCAATGCCAATGCCAATGCCAATGCCATTCTCCTTTTCGCAACTACTACTGGTTCGTATATTAATTGCTAAGTTTTGTAAGAATTTCTGGTGTTATTAATGCAAAGAATGTGATGTAGGGTGATGGGATGAGCCGCATGTTCACTCAACAATTGCCATCTTCTACGTTGATCCCCACGACCACCGCAAACGTTAATTTGAATTCCCAAGTTAGACATATGTTTCAATCTCAACAATTACAATAGGCAATTGTCCCTATCCTTATTACTTTCACTTTGCACGTAAGGTAATGCAAAGAATTACTACTATCCACATGCACCACACCATGGTGGCTCCATTTAAATCGAGGCAAACATAGCAATAGTCTAAAATCGTTGAAATTTTGGGTTCACTTTTATAGAGCTAGAATAAAATCAAGAAGATTTGTACTAAAATTTTACTCGGGATTGGTAGAATGCAAGTCCTTATGCAGTAGTATTTCGTAAAGTTTAATGACTTTGATGTGTACACATTTCACTAGTTAATTACTATCTTAATTTTTATGTTGTGGAAATTTGGGAATTTTTTAAAATTTATCTACTTATTCTAGTTGAACATGTGATCTCATATGCTATTTACTTTTTAAGAGATCCTTGGTCTGTCATAGATAGTGTTCGAACATATATAAGCATCTAGTTTTTAAACATCGGATTACTACAATTCTTTTATGCTCATGTTTGTTTGTATAATTGGAGGAACAATTTGGTAACGTCTGGTATCACAATCGTTTGAGAAGATACCTCACGTTTGAGGATCATCCCATTCTAGAAACCAATGGAAAAACATGGTACTGGGTTGCTCATGTTGTTGAGGAAGTATCCAGAGCATTTTGTTATCAACATAAGGTCTAAAGGTCGGGTTACTGTTGAGGAGTTTGTCTCTCTTGTGTCACTACTCTCCAAAAAATTTAGAACGCCTTCATCAATGTAACATGTTATTCTAGTGGCAAATCTAGAATCCTGTTTCAAGTTTCAATATTACGTTTTTTATTCTTGATTGTTCTTTTCTCCATGTTCCTGTTTATAATATATATGCAATTTTATTTGTTTCATTGATTCAGACTTTTGAGGAAGATTTAACTGAAAATGTTGCTGGTAAATCATTTGTCTACGGTGTACAACCACATCAAAATCATAAATTGGTTTAATTAATAATAAAGATGGAAACACAAAAGAGGCCAGTTAAATATCATTCATGAAATCACAAAAGTTAACGACAATTTTGGGGTGTTGACCACCGAACTCCGATCTCATGAGATTTGTCTTGGGGCCCATGTCTATCAGGTGTGAGCTCGAATTTTACGCAGCTCAGATTCGACCCGCCGTAACCTCTAAAAACATCATGATTACCCCTTATCACACCAACCTCTCAAATCAATACACTTGTTAAGAGTGACATCACCACCCCCCAAAACCACCACTCCAAAGCCCGGAATCTCAAGTCCCTTGCAGGTCACCATTACCTGGAGAAAACATTAATATATAGCCACGGGCCTCATCGACCAATTAAAGGAGAATTCGACGACCCAAGTTTCGAGCTCGACACTGTAGCTGATTTGACTGATTTGATGTAATTTCAGCTAAAGCCATGTATAATTAATGGAGTAGAAGTTTTGTAAAATGGGGAGACAGATAAAAAAAAAAGCATAATCCGATCACATCTTCTCTATGTATTTCATGATCTGATTTAGCAATAAATCACGTTTTTTCTTAAAGTTGGCTCAAGATTAGCCTTGCAAATTTCGACGTCAACAGTTTGGCACTAGAAGGAGGGCCCCAATTGTGAAAAATAGCCTTACTCTCTCCACAAAACTCCAGAACCATGAGTCACAGCTCCAATTCTAGAAATCCATCCCACACCCACCCTTATGAAACCAATACTCTACCAAGTTCGCTACGACGACAAAACCCACAAATGACCGCCATGAGGGAAGCCCTGGAAAAACTAACAAATGCAGTGGGACAATTAGAACGAAGCCAAATCCACTTCTCCCCACCAGAAGAACTCTCTACTTTTCAAAAGGAGAATCCTCAAGAAGCTAAACTGACGAAGTCAGAAGTAAGGATCTCCCGACAAGGAGGACCGGCAGCATATTCGACACGTTGGGGACCCAGCACTCGGTAACCCCTACACGAGGATAGGCTGGTTCCAACCTTAAACGTCCTCTGGAACAGACAAAACCTGAGCTGAGCGCACTGAAAAGGCTCATCGCTAAGCTAGAGGCCAAAAACAAAGGTAGCACTGAAGATTATCTCCCCAAGCGACATTCCCCATTTACTGAGGATGTCCTCATGGAACCATTGTCCGAAAAATTAAAGATTCCCCAGATGGCCGCGTACGAGGGAGATGGAGATCCCCTTAGCCACCTTGACAAGTACACCTCATGGATGGAGCTGCAGGGGGCAAGTGATGCCATCATGTGCTGGGCATTTTCCCTAACTCTGGGAGACAAAGCTCAGAGGTGGTTTAGGAAAATGCACCAGAGGTCGGCAAAAAATTGGAATGACCCAGTAGCAACATTTTTAACCCAGTTCATGGGCTCCAAAGCTAGAACCACGCCCAAGGAACGGTTAGTAAGTATCAAACAAGGAAAGAGTAAACCTCTTAAAGGCTACCTAAGCATGTTCAACAAACAATCCATGGAAGTAGAAAAAATATTCGATGATGTCGCACTCATGGCAATACTGGATGGACTAAGACCCAGAACGAGATTCTAGTGGTCGATATACGAGGACGGCCCAAGAACTTATCACGAGTTCTTGAACCGAGCTGAAAAGTATATAAGTGCTGAAGAAGCAACCTCTAATCAAGAGGAAGCCAGGTGCAATCCCGACCTTAGCAATACGAAAAAAGAGATAAAGCCGAATAACAGTCCTCAGCACGAAAGAAAGAAGATTGGAGAGAAAGAGAATGTCATAAGGCTCAGCCGCACAAATTTCGAGAATACCACCCACTCAAAGCCACCTTGGAAGAAGTATTCATGCAAACTAGTGAAAAATAGGCATTTAGCAGGTCGGTGACCCAGAAGAGCGGGCAGATAGGACACCACCAAGGGTGATACTGCTGATATCACAGGATGGTGGGTCATGACCCTGATAACTGCTGGAAATTGAAGGAGGAAATTGAGTCCTTAATTCAAAGAGGTCGGCTACAGGAGTTTGTTGCCAAATAAAAAATGGACTGACCTCTTCCGCAGTAACCATTGTGATAGGGACCTCCTGCATGAGCTCAGCAGACAATTCACAATCATAATCCACCCCCATGCGTCGAAATCAAAATGATGGTAGGAGGAAACTAGTATATTGAGGGATCTAGAAGGGCAAGACGAAGATAAGCCCGAAATGCTCGGATCATGCCAAACTACGAGGATCAAACCCCTCAGATCGGCATAGACCCTGAAAAGTTCTGGTTCACAGAGGAAGATTCTCGAGGAGTCCTCAAGAACCAAAGTGACGCCCTAGTGGTCACCATGCTAGTTGCCGAGGTGAATGTTCACGGGACATTAGTGAATAATGGGAGTTCGGTCAACATACTAAATTCACAGTCTTTGAGGCAGTTAGAAATATCCAAACGCTACCTTTAACCATACTTAAGGAAACTGCAGGGGTTCTCCGGAGACCCTATTGAGGCTCGAGGTCATATCGTCCTAGTTGTAGAGCTGGGTGAAGACCCTCATGAAAGAAGAATTTTGGCAAATTTTGTGGTAGTCGATCTGCCGTCCAACTACAACGCAATATTAAGATGACCCATATTGCACGAGCTAAAAGTCGCCACGTCAATCTATCATTACTGTATGAAGTTCCCTACCACTCATGAGACCGAGATAGTCTGAGGAGACCAAGCTGGGGCCAGAGCGTATAATATAGACCTATCCAAACCTCAGGTTAACATGCTAAGGGGCAGGGCATATACACGAGTCGGGGAAGCCAAACTGAAAAGACCAATCGTG